TTGGCACTTTTATTCCTCGGGGTAGTTCTACTTGAGTTATATAATCTGGGAAGGCTGACACAAAGTAAGGACGTTCATTTCGACCTACGTCGAATCCATGTCTATTCAGTATTCTTTCTACCATTTGATCTAAGTTGTCCTGTGGATTCCTATTAGGTCGAACTACGTTCTGATGAAAATTCTCATTCCTTCCAGGATTTTCCATCTCATTCAGATTCGCGCTCATGGCTCTCGAAGGTGTCCCATCACCTAATTTATCTCCTATTTTATTTATCAATTCATACAGAGGAGTCATAATATTATGCATTTGAGTTGACAACAAATTAACCATGTCATGATTACTATGGTCCATTTGTTGTCGAAGAGCCATCATGGCTTGGTTACTAATACCCGTAGGTACATAACTGCCTTGTCTAATCAGAGAACCCTCCTGACTTGTCCCTACATGTTGATATGGGTCATGCATAAAAAAACCCATGCCATTCGGCCCGGGATTATATCCCTGTGGGGATACATGCATTTGTGAATTGGGTCTTATTAATGGTATTGGCATTTCGACATGCACAGGTTGGGTATTTCGCCAATTCTGTGGCATACCCCAGGGATATTCCCTAGTGACATTCGCTAGTTCCTGAGTAACATTTGTTTGCCTAGCTGTGTTTTCGAGTAACACAGGGGATGAAGACGTTGCCCCCTGGTCACGTTAGTCACATTATCGGGATTGGAATTTTCTTGTTATACATCTACGTGATTATTATTGTTCGTGCCTGTTTCTCTATTAGATGTAGACATTGTTCTTCCACTCCTAAGTCTCATGCAACACACATACCCAAAACTAGTCCAATTATGTTTGATTTAAACACGTCCCACCGGGCGTGCCAATTTGTTTACGGTGGAATTAGTTTTATGGATTCTTTTTAGTCGAACTAGCACGATAAACGTTTCAATTTAGGTATGTTGATGTTTTAAATTTTACGGAACGAGAAGAGGAGTAGGAAGACTAATAATTACTTTTTTCTAACAATTCTTCAACAATTAACAAGTAACAATTTCTATACACATAAATGCTAAGATGAACGGAATGGATAATGGAGATACTTGCAATACAAATCATGGTTCACCTTGCATAATGTTCCAGAATTACAATATCAAAGTGATATAACTACGTGATTAAAAGAAATAACTAAGAGAACTATGCTAATTTTACTCCTAAAAAGCAAAAGAAAAGTGGCCGAGAATTAGTCATACAAAAAACGATTCCTCGCATGAAAGCCATATGCGCAGGCAAAGAGTGCTTCAGATCTGTCTTAGTATGAGTTTTTCCGACCCTGTGACAATGCAGACTTCTTGAATTTATAGAATGAATCAATGACGGTTAAGTCACTCAGACACTCGTGCACGTAGGCCACTATGAGATAACCGCTACCCACTACGCTCATTATGTGGTTCCTAAAGTGTCCGCTCTTCGCGTACATTAACTTCTCGACCTGGACGCTAACCGTCTTTGTATGATCATAAACACCCATACAACTTTACCCAATCTCGAACATATCATTATTCAACTCGAAATAATTATTTTCGATCTCAAATCAGCTTTTATCAGGTAGGAGTTGATCTCAATACTTCCAGCACGAATACATAAAACTCCTAATATGTTCCAGACAGGTGTTTATCTTCCTCCTTTTTTGATTAGCTTCATCAGTATATTTTTCGATTTTCATGGTTTTTGAGTAATCATAACAAATATGTAAAAAAATTTGAAGGGGCCTACCTAAGAAAGTGACCTCCCTCAACTTGCAACTGCCACGATCCTGCTAGTTTTACATAACCAGTTTTCATTTTATAAAATTGACTATAATTTTGAAAAGTAAAAAAAATATTTTATATTAAATACATTCTTACGACTATTTTTTTATACTTTAATAATATTCTATATATAATTCAAAATAATTATCTCCTATCGAAAGTGTGAAAGTATTTTTAAGAATCTCTTTTAACAAAAGTGCTTTTAACTAATTTTCTTCAATTGAAACATTTTTGGAGATTTTCTTTTAAAGTCTAATATTTTTAATCTATCATTTTTTATTTTTAAATTAAATTTCAATATTTGGAGGTGTTCAATATCATATCAAATGCCTCTTTATTCTCTAGTTGTTTTTGCAGTTGTAAGCTCATGATAACAAGCATGAGACATCTAACAGGGAAGGAAAAATGGTATTGTTTTAGGTCTGTAAAATCTTTCCATCGATGTTGTATCTAGTCATTTTTAAAATTAGGTACCAATCATTATCAAACTACATTAAAAGTCGATTGTTATATACAAGATTAATTATTTTTTCCTCAATTTTAAAAATGTTGGTATAATTTCAAAAATTTCATTGTATCAATTATTAAATCGATTGGTTGCATATGACAATCTATTTAATAGCCTTATGTCATAGATAATTTTTGTACTATCATAATATCTATGACATCATTCACGTGCTTCTAATAACATCCTTATCAATCCTAGAAGTATTAGTTGTCATTGGCTCAAGAGTTAATTTTCTTATCTTGTTTAAGGATATGGTCCTCAAGTTTATTTTCCAATTAAAAAAGTTACTTTCAGATAGTTTATTTTTCTCAGTAATCGGTTGTAGTATTAGTGTGTTTATGTTGATATAATCATAGTTTTAAAAATTGGATCGGTCATATCGAACCGGTTAAGGTACTGGGTCAGTGGATCAAAGGTTGAACCGGTGGGTGACTAGTTGAACCGCACGATTCAATTTTTATTTATTTTTATTAAAAAAATATTCATATTAAATATATTTTATACTTATAAATTTTAATAAATTCATATCTTATTTTACATTTCAATTTTTCTATCTTATTTAAAATTATTTTTATTTTGTAAGAAAATACATATAAAATTACATGTTAAACTGTATATTAATACAAATTAAAAATATAAATAATATGTACATATATAATATGCTTGCAATTGATATCACAAAATAATATATGTAATATCAACATAGATATTATATTATTAAATATATAATTTAAAATTAATAATATACTATAAAAGTTATTTAAGTTGTATATATTGCAAACAAATATATTAGAACAAGTAGTCATTGTTATATTTAATAAGACTCCTTGCTTTTTCATTAAGAGATTCAATTTTCATTATTATTTTTGTGATTTATGGTCCCTTAAAA